TACTGCAAGACCTGTTCCTGTGACCTTAGTGTCTCTAAAAATAACCTGTAAATTTCTCTTGAACCAACACTTTCTGTAGCATGTAAGTCTTTTGTCTTTCCTGGAGAGAACAAGTGTGGTGGATGAGTAGCCTTGTTACTATAGTTGAAGAAAGATACAGTGAAGTATAGTGTGAAAAGCTGTAGAGCTATAGAGTACTGAAGGTAATCATAACTGGTATTTCAGTGGTAGTAATGCTCTTCTATCCCACGCAAGTGTGCAACACAGTCTAAGGTGTGTGGGCTGTTGCCAGTGTTGTACTTGTGATCTGTCACCATTCTAACATCCAGAAGCTATTGATAGAGGCTCTAGAAATAACTTGGATTTTCCATTTGCAGACTTGCACTTAGCATGAAGCTAGTAAGGCTGTCAAACCAGCTCTTGGAGAATGTAGTAAGCTAGCATTTGATTCTGTGATTTAAAGCTTGGGGTTTTTTGATAGTAGATTTGAGTCACTTAATGTTTTGTATTTTTTTGATGTGTTGCTGAACTGGCCCATGATATCCTGTAAGATGACAGCGTTCTACTGGAAGAGAAAGTTTATGTACTGAGAACTCTAGAACACATTGAAGTCTCTTCTGAATAATCAGTTCCCACGGAAATGTAAATTCAATGGGAATGGAGCTCAGACCACCTAATAACTAAGGACAGTCTCTGTAGAAGGAAGCTAATGCAAGCATTTTCAAGGTAAAGGAATACTGTTGTTTAGAAGCAAGTCTGCTAGGGGTTCATATCCTCACATTTCTGATTATGTGCATAACTTAAAAAAAAAAAAGCTGATAAGCATGATGAACCGAATTGTCCTCTGCTTCAAAGTATTGAGGAAGCCATGACTTTGTGAAATAGCTTGCTGCTTGTGCTCAGTATCTTCCAGGTTCTGCTGAAAGCATATTACCAACAAATGCTTTTCGTATGCTGCCAATAAATGATTAAGGTGAAGATGAAATCATAATTAAGAAAAAAAAAAAAAAGACAGGGCTGTTGTCACTATTTTCAAAACAGAAGTGCTAAATCCAGGAAACTTACAGTTAAACTGAAAAGAAATTCAAATACTTTAAGCTGTGGAAATATGTGGAGAGGGGATCCAAACTTCCAAACCCTTTTCTGTTGCCAGATGCTCTGACTTCATATGTAGTTAAAGTTTAGAAAAATATGGTGCAAAATCTTTTTTACTTTTTTTATCTTTGCCATTTAGAGTTAGTTACATCATGGAGGGTGTTTTTGTTTTGTGGGTTTTTTTTCCCGTGCTACCATCTGTGTATTTAAGGATAGATTTAATCTGATGAGCATTTTCATGGATTTGCTGATACAGTTCTTGTAGAGAGAGATATTTCTCAAAATGGCTACCAAGTGAGGGCAGTAGTGGCTTCATTTTCAGTGAGAAATGAGACTTTTTTTTTTGTGGCAGTACTTTCTAAAGGATGAATTTTTTTTCTTGTGTAACTTGTTGGATGTCCTTGTATATTTCAACTTCTGAACTACAGAAAGTAATAGGGATGGATGAAGAGAGATGGCTGTTAATTAGGCAAATTGGGGATGTATTCTTTTTCTGGACGCTAACTTCATTGCACAGCCAGATGTTCCAAATTCCCCTCCTTCTCTCCCTCTTCCATCTCTTTTGAGCACTGCCTCCCTTTTCCTGCTTTGAGGCTTTACCCAAATCTACTGTCCCTTTTTTTGCAACTAACCCTGCTCTCCTTGGTACTTTCTTTCCCTCTTGCCTTAGGGCTTCTTAGGATAGCATGTCTGACTTCCCCTTTACCCTTTCTTACTCCCTTTATCTCTTTTGAGACATTGACATCTTAAGCTATTGTGGTATAGGAGGATGGTCAGAGTGAAGAAGGTGTTTTTTTTCTCTTAATGATATAATTTTGTTTTGTTTTTTTATAATGAGAACATAACTGTTATGAACTGTAGTGGTTAGCAGTGGCTTGTACTGGTCATTTATTCTGCCAAACAGATGCACTGGATTCTGCCCTCAATCTTTTGTTTTATTTATTTTTCTCCAAAGCCTGAGGCCTACTATATATATTGAAACAGGAATGGATTATATGCAAATTAAGAAAATTATTGCAGTTGAACTAGACAATTATTGTAGGTCCCTTCCAACTGTAATAATTCTATTACATTATATTTAATTTGATGGCATATACTTGTCTAGATGTAGGATTTTGCAAATGTTGTCTTGAATAGTATTATCTTCTGCTTAATGTTCGATTTGTGTTTTGTTTTTTTTTGTGGCCTGCTCCTAAAATGGAGGCAGTACCCTTTTTCTGTCCCGACCCTGCATCCTAACACTCTCCTTTATGTCTGAAAGAGGGTATATCTGCATCTGGTTGAAAGTTAAGTGGTATCTTTCTGTATTTGCTCAAGTGGCTGTTCAGTCAGATCTGTGAAGTTATCTGACTTGCCTGTGGCTATGTAATTTGTGGAGCAGATCAAGTAGAGTGGCTGGAGTGTGCAACTGGACGGGTTACACACACTTGCTTTCAGCTGCAGTGCATCCTTAGATTGACAAAGGCTGATCATGCAACTACACCTTTAGAAAGCAACTTTTGCACAAGATAAATTTTAAGCACTTTAAATTGGCATGGCTATCAAGAGAAACAGTCCTGTACCCTTCCTGGCTGCTGTTCCCATTCTCATGTTGACTCTTTCCTTTACTGCCACATGTATGAGATCAGTTCCCTGCTGGCTGCAGAGCGCAAACTGGAATGGGGGGGTATCATGGGCAACTGTACTAGCAGTTGATTGCAGGAAGCTCCTTCTCCTCCCCCAGAAGCTTATATTGTTTCAGCATTCATTCAGCCTTCTTAAAGAGGTGTGCTATTGATAAGATTACTGTTTAAATTCTTCAGTACAATTGTCTGCTCTATTTCTGTGCTTATTCGGGGGCCTGTGATGTCCGTTTTATTTTGTCACCACAAGCATTTCTGTACCCATGCAGTGAACTAATCTGATTTTATAAATAGCTTAGCAAAAAAGGCTGGTTTTACATAATGTGTCTTAATCAGGAGGTTACCATTGTTTCTGTATGTATTGGGTTTGCATGGCAAGGGTTTGGTAGTGGAAGGGCTACAGGGCTGGGTTCTGTGAGAAGCTGCTAAAGCTTCCCTGATGCCTGATAGAGCCAATGCCATCCAGCTCTAAGACAGACTCGCTGCTGTCCAAGGCTGAGTGAATCGGTGATGGTGGTAGTGCTTCTGTGATAACATATTTAAGAAGGGAGTGGAAAAAAATGCTGTGTAACACCAGTAGCAGTCAGAAGAGTGAGAATATGTGAGAGAAACAACTCTGCAGACACCAAGGTCAGTGAAGGAGAGGGAGGAGTGTTCCAGGCACTGGAGCAGAGATTCCCCTGCAGCTTGGGGTGAAGACCACGGTGAGTCAGGCTGTCCTGGTGCAGCCCATGGAGGTTAACAGTGGAGCTGATATCCACCTGCAGCCTGTGGAGGACCCCATGCCAGAGCAGGTGGGTGCCTGAAGGAGACTGTAACCCCATGGGAAGTCTGTGCTGGAGCAGGCTCCTGGCAGGACCTGTGGACCCACAGAGAGGAGCCCGTGCTGGGGCAGGTTTGCTGGCAGGGGGCTGTTTCTTAAGGACTGTACCCCATGGAAGGGATCCACGCTGGAGCAGTTTGTGGGAAGGACTCACATTGGAGAAATTTGTGGAGGACTGTCCCCCATGGAAGGGACCCACTGCTGGAGCAGGAGAAGAGTGTGAGGAGTCTTCCTCCTGACAAGGAAGGAGCAGCAGAGACAATGTATGATAAACTGACCGTAACCCCCATGCCCCATCCCCCTGTGCCAGCTTGAGGGGAGGAGGCAGAGAAAATTAGGGGTGAAGTTAAGCCTGGGAAGAAGAGAGGGGTGGGGGGAAGGTGTTTTTAAGATTTGGTTTTATTTCTCGTTATCATCCTCTGATTTGATTGGTAATGAATTAAATTAATTTTCCCAAGTCAAGTCTGTTTTGCCGGTGATGGTAATTGGCAGATGATTTCCCTGTCCTTATCTCAACCCATGAGCCTTTTATATTTTCTCTTTTCTCTCTAGCTGAGGAGGTGGAGTGATAGAGTTGCTTTGGTGGGCACCTGGTGTCCAGCCAGTGTCAACCCACCATACCATAATAAACAGGCTGCTTTAACTGTGGTATTGCTGGCTGTAACAGCGTTCATTTGGAGACTAAAAAAGCTTGTAGCAGTGTCTTGCTCTTGATTGCAGTCTTCCCTACAGTCCCTTTCCTTGAATACAGCTATGTGACATATTTGACATATGGAAGGGCTGTGTAGTCCCTGAGAATGACAGCACCCTGGAGCAGATGCTGCCTTGTTGGAGAAATTGGTCTGGCCTGCAGGTTGTACCTGGTTTCCTGGATGCCTCTTGAGAAAGGATTGGCAGTTGTAGGCTGTGTGGTTGTTAGTGGTAGAAATCTGTTCCCACACAGCCTTTCCTAAGGCATCGTTGGAGTGCACAAAACTGAGCTGTGCTTGTATGAGACTTCAGGAAATATTGACTGTGGTATGCATATGTAGTATGATTGCTCTGAATGTGTGCATTTTCTAGGACCAGTGGATCTTACGTATTCATGGTGGGTGCCATTGTGAAATTGAAGGGACTGTGACACTGACTGTCTAAAGTGAAGTGGCCTGTTTGGCCCGAGGACCACAAGCCTTAGCAGTTGAGAAAGATTGTGCCTAGCATGATGTCTACTGTTAGGCTGTGAAAACTCCCAGGAGAACAAATGGAGCTCCCTGCTCTAAGACACTGAAAAAAGACTAAATGCACCTGGATGTGACCCTTGAGAATAAACTGTATTTTTTGTTAGAAGTTGCATTTGATGAAGTCTCATTACATGCATTCTCTCCCTAGCTGTTGTTATTGAGTGGTCTGTGTAATAGGTCATATTTAGCAAGCATGTCACTTGTTCAAGAAATACTGTGAATCTTTATCACTCTTCACAGGTTTGCAACGGTGAGATATGACCAGGCATCCAAGAACATTAAGAACCAGTTCATGCATCTGACCAACTACAGTGTCAACAAGAAGAGTGGAGATTATGTCAGGTACTTGGCTGGAAAGCAGAACTTGATCTCTAGAGGTTGGGTCAATTTACCTAAGTTGGTCTAAGGCTGGTGCAACTCTGTAGAGGTAGGCCAGTGGTGTCAACTTGCTGCTTTCATTTATTTTTAGCTGTGATGATCCTGAAGTAGAGGATTATGGAAACAAGTGGAGCATGAGTGCAATGCTGAGGTACTTAAAACAAGAGGGGAGAGACACTGCAGGTCAGTACAGATCTTGTTCTTTTATTCCTTTGTTGGATCTTAATCATCTCACTAGTGCGAATCCTATGAAGTCAGGGAAGAGCCCCAGTGAGTCCCACTTAGCGCCAGAGCAGGGTGGAGGGAAGCATTGTTCCTTACAGCTTACTCACTGGAGCTGTGCATTTATTCTCTATCCCCAGAGATGAGTACTATCCCCAGAGATGAGGCCTACCCCTTCCCTTTTGCAAATAATATTCTGAGACTTTCTCAGCGTGTGTTTCTTAATATTTTACCTACATTTCCCGTTTCTTAAGGTCATTCCATTCCTTCTAAAAGCTTCCCTCCCTCTGCTGCTCCCATGGCCTGTTCAGTCTGATGAGTGACCAACCTCTGGAGAACTGTGCCAGTTTGAATGACTCTTGGATGTGGTGTCATCTTTCCATGGCTCAGGTTTTTGCTGGGTGTTTTCATTTCAGTCTGTGTGTCATATAAAATAGTACCCTCTTCCACACCTTTGCCAGGTCTGCTGGGAGTAAATGCATCTGCAGAGCAGAATCCAGGTATATCCTTTAAAGGATAAATTACCTGTGATACTGAGGTATCAGTAACACTACTGGTAGCAGCTCTGCCTATATTGCAAATGTTGCTAGGGAACACTTAAATGTTGGAGGAAGGGGTTTGAATCTGGCTTTCAGATGGAAGTAGAATTTTTTCCCCCATCATATGGGGGATTGGCATGGCTGTCCAATCATCTGCACCATATGTTTTCAGTAAGCTATGTACGCAGTTACTTGTATTGATACATTTCTACACCCCACCCCAACCTAAAGTATAAAACATGCACTCTTGAAAATTAAGTAAACTGCTGAGCAATGCAAGCAGGTTTCTCTAACTATCCATTATGGGGCTTCTTGCACCTTTCTCTGATGCATCTGGTTCTGGTTGTAGGGAGGCAGAATGCTGGCTGGAAAGTGCTGGCCTTGTCTGGACTAGGAAGGCTTTTGTGCTGAGATGTTCATGTGCACTTCAACATTCCCATGCTGTGTTGCTTCCATTTAGTCAACTTCTGGTACAGAAGTTCACATTTGAATTTGCTTGCATGCTCCTCTGTAATTATTCAGGTCCCTGCATGTCGTCATCTGAACATGAGAAATAGTAATTGTAGGTCTAAATCGAACACTCTAGTCAGGTGGTTTGTACTAGATGTTCTTTGGGACAGGGATTACCAAATGTCTGTGTGGGTCTGCTGGAGGTCTTGTGTGTTTGCTTGTGCTCCCTTAAGGGGTGGGGAAGGCTGTCCTATCATCCCTACTAACTTTTCAGACTAGGACTGAAGTGTTTGTTCATTCCCTCCTTCTCTCACTTGTCTATTGGCTGTCCTTGAAAACGGAAACTAAGCGTGGTGTTCTTTCTATTGCATGACTCATCCCAAACGCGGTGTAGAATCCAGGTCTACATCTAACATGCATATTTTCTTGCCTTTTGCTCCCTCTGTCAGCTGAGATTCCAGTTCCTGAGCTCTGTTTACAGGCTCACACAGGAGCTGGAGAAGGCTTCCTTACTGAAACTGCAGATTATCTATAGATCAGCAGGACTGGGAGCTGTCACCAGTCGCATCATTTTAAAATGATTTGTGAATCATGGTATGGGAACAGCTGCTTTAGAGGAAGGTGCAATATCACAGAACAGTTATCTCATAAGTCCACAAGAAAAAAATTTCTGTCTCAGTGGCTATGGCTTATTCTCTGTAGTTTAAGGGCTTATCTCACTAACCCACTCTTGTTTAATCTTTCCTAATACTCTGAGTGGGTGGTGATCGGACTCCAGCTGACTTGTGCTGATGTGCTTGCCACATGTTTCTGCTTACTTGTACTGTACATATAATCACTTTTATCATTCTCATTTGTGAGTATTTTGCACTAGGGTACTTATGCATGTATCTATATACTTATGCTTGCATGGATTTCCAAACATCATTGCTTTGTCATCCATAGGTTCTCACATGCTTTGATTTACAAAGGTATCTGTCCATATGCATATTCTCATACTTTTTAAGTATTGTGTGCTACTTCACAATCTACTTTTTTTTTTTTTTCCTCCTCCCCTCCTTGCAGCGCTGATGGCCAACGTGGAGGACCTGATTATCAAGACTGTAGTTTCTGCTGAGCTGGCCATTGCCACAGCTTGTAAAACTTTTCTTTCCCATCGTGGCAGTTGTTTTGGTAAGGCACTTGGGGAATATTTGTTGACTGGCTCTTAAGTACTGTTTGAAATTTCCAACTTTCTGATGCTACAGAGAAAAGTTCATTCTGTATTGCAAGGAAGCTGGATACTGTTGTGTTTGGTTGTCTTTTTTTTTTTTTCTCCTCAGTATAGGCATTTGTGAGGGCAGGGAACACTGAATCACAGTTGCCCCTGTGCTAATGTTGTTCATCAGAATCTCATGCTTGAAAATGGGATGATGAAAAAAGACTTGAAAGGGAACTGGAGAAGTGCTGGGAAGTTGAAGTTACTGACCCACCAGTGAGTGCCCTTGCAAAGGATGGCTGTGGATGATTAAACATCCCTTTAGAGCATTTAGTATTTTCTATTGACCCATCTAGTGCAATGTAGTTTTGAATTATTGTCCTACATGCATTTGAGGACAGTGCTGGTAATGCTTCTGGGCTTGTGCTTGTGTGACAGTACCGCATGGTGGCGTCAAAGCCTATTTCTGGCAGAAACTGGATGGAGAGCTACGTGCTGGCAAAGGTATTTGAGAACTCGCTGGCAGCAGATGCTGGGATGAGGTCCAGAAAGCAGCGGCTGGTACCACAGTGTGCCTTCTCCTGCTTTCCAGTGGCTGCTTCCCAACCTTCCCTAAAGAGGCCTCCTCTTGCTCTTAGCCGCCCTTTGCTCATGTGGATACATGCATGAAGATGGAGTCTTGGGGCAGGGGAAATGAGTCTATAATTAGTGTCAGTCGTGCTTAAGCCAAAGACCAAGCTTGGCTTAAGCTAACCTGTGTATAGATATTGGGACTTATATTTAAACTAGCTGTGACAGGTAAATCCAGTTGTATGGTCCTTGCATTGCACTCGAGTATTGACAATTCTCCATCTTTCAACACTCTAACATAAATGCTGTCATCTTTGAATATTTAGGGGTGATGAGGCCATCAAGAATTAAGGAAGAGCTATGGCTGATATGTTTAGTTGGCTGCCTCTCTGGCCTTAGCTTCTTCTGACTGAATGTGATGCTCTTGCTCAAAGTTGGAAAATGTTGGCATGCATGCGGATTTAGGAGTTAGATAATAGTTTTAGTGAAGCAGCAGTTTATCAGCTATGGTAGAAATAGCAACAACCAGATTAAAAAAAAACCACACCAAAAAAACTTTAACTGCCTCTCTTTTTGCTTCTCCCTTTTCCTCCCTCAGTTGTGTCTCTAGATTCCTCTGAGCTGCGTATGTGGAAACTAATGTTCCTGGTGTACTTTCTGCTGGGCCTGGCTCTGAGGTTATCCCACTTCCTGCTGCCTCCCCAGGGTTGCACTAACCACCCTCTCAGATGTTCCCCCACAAATAAACTGTTTTGTTCCATTTATTTCAGTGTAAACATAAATTAAGAGCTTCCCAGGAAAGACAGCTTAAGTAGGAGCCATACTGCTTCCCTAGGGAGCCTGAGGCATTTCCAGAGCTCCATATTTTCTGCCACCTTCCCCCACAATTAAGTGGTGGTCCTTGTCCCAAGGATTTGAACTGCCCTTGTCATGCTATATGGCAGTTTTTCTAGCATGAAAGGTTCAGAATGGCTGACTTCATAGCTTGTTAACATGAGGGAGAAAACTGGGAATGAAGATTTCAAGGCAGCATGTAGAGGCTTCCAAGAGCTTTTTTTTTTTTCTTCATTCTGGGTTGTGAACAATGAAACTGCGTGTGTGTCCTGAGAAAGACTGATCACTTGAAAAGTACCTCAGACTTCAGAAACCTGTTTCTGAGATTCAGATACAGAGGTAGGCCTAGTTTGGAAAGCTTCTAGAATATGACAAACTGAATGTGTATTCTACTTTACTCTTTGTAATGTTCTTCTAGGGAATAGGACTCCAGCACAATTGCCACCTTCTTGCTAAAATTAAATTATAAGTACTCATTTGTCTAGATTAGGCTGCCCACTTTATTTTTCTAACAGTTTAGTGCTGCTATGGACCTTCATTCCTTTCCCAAGTAACTTTTTTATGTAATATACTTGTTTTCTAGATTTAAGGGAAGAAACTCTATTCATGGCTTCTTCATGTTCTAAAATAAGACTGGTGAGACAGTCTGTATGGTTCCAGCTACGCGTACTTGCCTAGAAAGTGAGAGTGGTAGGTCAGGATGATTCTTTTCTAATGTAAGAGAGGAGCGCTGCTGACAATTTGTGGAAAGATTGTAGCGAGTCCCCTTTTGGCCTCATGTGAGCTGTTTTTTCTGCATTCTAGTAATAATCAGCTCTCGGAGGACTTGGGATGCTCTGTAGTTTTGTTCCCCTCAAGTGCATCACAAAATCATTTAGTACTTACACTACTTTCTGTTGCGGCCTTGTTCATGCATTGTTATTAATAATGTGATCTGAAGCCTCTGTTTTGTTCTTTGTGATTAGCTAATAATTCCTCATGTAAAATTAAGCTGCAAGTAAAAAATGTCTTAACCAGTAGCTCCAGAGGAGGGAATGCTGCAGGACTCCGAACCACTGCATTGTCCTGAAGCTGTTCACCAGCTGAGTTGTTAGTTGTCTCTGGAGCCTTCTTTAAGAGAAACTGGGGTTTGCACTGACCTTGAGGGACATGATGTCTCAGTGTAGGAGCAGTATGATAGGGATACCTATGTGCAAGCCAATTAAAGACTGCATTGTTATGCCTCCTGCAGCAAACACTTCTGGGTGGGCTTGACAAGGTAGTGAGGCCTGCTTTCAGACAGTCTGAAAAATCTCTCTGTAGGATGGTTTAACAGGGGATGAACTGAAGGCAACTGAGTGCAGCATATATTTTTGCCAGCATCTGGTGTAGCACCACTTTCTGTACTCACTGAAACATGAGCCTGAAGAAGCAATAGGTTTAAATCCCCCGTTTCATTCCCAGCTCTAGTCAACCCGGCAATGTGGGGGAGCTCAACAGTGTCAATCAAGAAGGCAGGGCAGGGTAGGGTAATAGGCATGTTGATCCCACTAAAGCAATGAGTTTCTTTCTTAGCTGCTCTTGTGTACTAAGGCTGAATTGGTCAGGCTTATGCTTCTAATTAAGATGGTATAGAGCAAACAATAAAATGTTGTACTGCTTGAGTGGCGCTGATCTGGAGCGAAATGCTTAAAAAAAGTCTTCGTTTGTATCTAATCACCAGTTCTCAACCATCAATGTTCCTGTTTTTCATAAGCATTTAATTTTCTTACCAGTAGTGGTTGACTTGTTTGGGGGAATGGTAGCCTTTTGTAGTATTGAACAGTGCTGGGTGCTCCATAATGAATTTTGCAGAATGCTATAAATTTGAGATTCTTAAGGAATTTCTGTGCAGACTTGGTTGACATTAGTACAGGTACGTCCTTGCATAGAGACTTAGGTCAGCCATACATATATCATACACATATCCTATATCTTTTTCTGGTTTCATAGATGGTATGTCAAGGAAAAGCAGAACAGGTATTCCCTACTCTTGTCTCTTTTTTTGCAAAGCTTAATCCATTATATTTTTATACACTTACTGTCTGTCTTTGCTTTGAAGCCAGTATGTAAAGATGCCATTTTGAATCTGAAAAAGGTTGTCCTTAGAGTATTCTGGCTACCATCAGATTCGGGAGCCCTGTACTTTTCAGGACAGGTCTTTTTGATTCAATGTGCCAAGGCAGGTTTTGTAATATGACAACTATGTCTTCAGAATTTTTTACAAAACTGTCACCTGAGCCTGAAGGGTAAAATGAGTTCAAGGGATAGGTCTTCTAGTGATAGCTCCTGTAGGAGTAGGGGTCTACCCCTGCACTGTTTTCCTTGTCCCTTCATAGCTCTAAATGATATCTAACTGCTGATGATTTAGCACCCAGAGCTCAGCTGAAGAGTCAGGATCCCTGTTGTCGCAGAAGCTTTCTGGTTTCTTTAGGAAGCTGTTCTCAGTTTGGAAGCACCAGTTTTCTTTCTCAGGGTGCTGGGGCAGACCTAGGAAGAATTAACTCTTTCAAAAACAGCCATAAAGAAATGACCAGCATCGTCAATTTATAATCAGTGGACTAGCGTTACCAAAGTCGGATTCAACCCTGGTTTCTCATTCCATCTTATACTGCCATTGTTTCTTGTAGTGACATTAAGATCTTTAGCAGATAGATGAGAACATGGAAGTGAGAAACACCAGGTTATTCTTGTCTCCTAATTTGCTTGGGCCTAAGGTGGTGGTAGTTGTTGTTTAGGAACTTGAATTAAGAAGAACTTGGGCTAATGAAGTCAGGAACATGCTTTCTTCTTCACCTCATCTACACATGTATCTACAGAGTCAGCTGGCTTTTATTTTGACTACCTGCTACTACATTTTCTTAATTTGGCCACATAAGCTTGAAGAACAAGTGGCAGGCGTATGTACTGTTCTGTTCCTCAGTGACATAAGGGAAGTTAAGTGATGTCCAAAGGTGGTTATTGGGATTTTAACCGCTTCGCTCAGTGTGATCTCACATGGTGGGTTGAAGAACTCGTTCCTTCAGGGGTGATAATTTATTTGACCTGTAATATTAGGATTATAAAGGCAGCCCAATTTGCACTGAGACTCCTGTTCTTTGATGTTAGCCTTGAAGATGACCTTACTAGTTTTTCTGACTTCAGAGTAGAAGGATGATTCTGAGTCTGATTTTTGGTATAGGTGATAAGCCCAACTGTAATCTTCTGTTCAGCAAAGAAAGTAGTGGTTTATGTAGAAAGAGGACAACCAAGATGGTGAAGGGTCTCGAGGGTAAGACTTAGGAGTGGCTGAGGTCACTTGGCTTGTTCAGCTTGGAGAAGAGAAGGCTGAGGGGTGACCTTGTCACAGTCTACAACTTTATCAAGGGAGGAAGTGGAGGCGGAAGTGCTGATCTCCTGTCTCTGGTGACCAGTGATAGCGCACGAGGAAATGGAATGAAGCTGTGTCGGGAAGCTCAGATTGGACATTAGGAAAAGGTTCTTCACTGAGAGGGTGGTCAGTCACTAGAACAGGCTCCTCAAGGAAGTTGTCACAGCACCAGCCCTGTCAGAGTTCAAGGAGTGTCTGGACGATGCTCTTAGTCATGTGATTTAATTTTTAGGTAGTCCTGTGAGGAGCAGGGAGTTAGGCTCAGTGATCCTTATGGGTCGCTTCCAACTCAAGATATTCTGTGATTCTATGTAGGCACCCAGAAACTGATCCACTTCTGAAGACTTTTATTGAGAATGTGACTGTGTCCTTCAGGCTTCAGTAGAAGGGAAAAAGGCTGAGAAATCATCTTATTAGTGATGGACTTTCTCTGGTTACCTATTGTGGAGAAAGTGCCTCATAGTGAGGTAATTAAACATTTGGCCAAGCTAGTATGAATCTTCATCTCATGAAGCAGACAAGAAGACCAACATGTGGCATAATTCTGTCCCATCTTGTTGGGTCCTTTCCTGTAATAACAGAGAGATAAAACCTTTCTCTGTTAAAATAAAGTTCCCTACAAAAAGGGAGCTAAGCTGTATTATTTGGAGTGCAAGGCAAATTCACACACAAGACTACAGCATCAGTACTTTCTCCAAAGCCTTTGGTGTCTAGAGTAGAGGCTTCTGTTCTATCACTTGACATGACACAGTGTGGCCTTTTGCTTATCAAAGCATTATGCTGGCCTTTTGCAGGGTAACAGGAATGATTTGGGACATGACTGTGATAGCCCCCAAGATGTAGATTTGTTTATGTCCCCGTAGCTGTTAAGCTGTGCTCTACCAGAGTTGAAGCAGGTGCTGTACCATCAGTAGATAAAGTGATGGAGTTCATTTACAAAATACTATATAGTCTCTGAAGCCTCAAGTTTGGCAATGTGTTCAACAAAGCAGTATGTCCATCACTATACTCACAGAAGTTTTTCTGCCTTGCACTGACTGGTTGCTGCTTTAGTTGAAATTGTAGCACAGTTAACTTTTCTAACTGAAGCTCCTTGATACATGTTGTCTGTAAGCATGGTCTGCAGGATTCCTTTATATAAAGCAGACAAAAAGTAGGAAGGAAAAAGGGAAGACATGAATTTCAGTGGCACAGGTGTAGTTCCTTGCATTAGGAATGTCTGTAAATATGCTCCTGCTTGAAATGAGACAGTTGGTTTTTATTGCGAAAGCGGAAGAGTTGCATACTATGCAGCTTTTTTGTCAGTGTGCGTGTCCCTTCATAACCCTAGGTTGCCTCCATTCAATTGCAGAATATGTACTCTGCAGTAAAGCTGCTTCCTTTTCCCCCGTGAACAAGCTGAAAACAAAGACCACAATTATAGCGACCCTCTAGGAATTGAGCATATTCATTCTATGCAAAATCATGAAAACATTGTTTGCGCTACCAGGCTATCACTTGTGACTTAGTTTCTAGACTTAGAGAGAATAGCAAATTCTTTGGGGATATTTTCTAAGAGGGAGTGCCAGTGCAGTCTTTGACACGATTATAAGCCAAACTTGGAATACGTGGTAGTTTACTAGAACCAAAAAGCTTGAGACCATGTCTCTAGCCTTCCTCTTAGTCTTGAATAATGACATTGCCAAAAATTCTGACTGAACTGTTGCTGTTAGACTTGAGTCTGAAGCTAGCCCTTCTCTTGGGAGAATGGGAAGCTTGGCCAGCAGTGACTTCTCTATGGGAGTCGGAGCAGGGAGGCAGGCTGTTTCTGCTGGGTCTTGGTAACAGCTGGTACCTCCTGATATAACTCCAATCTCTGTAGCAAACTGCAAAGGTGAAACATGCTTTTGTGTATTGTAGTAGCAAGAGGAGGGGAGCAAGGGAAGGCACTGTGGAAACTTGATATCTTAGTTTTTTTCTGTTCTTCCCTTAATAATGGTAGTTTTGCAAGGTGGGTTGTCATAAACCTACCGTTGCCACAGCCTGAGGCATGTGTTTCAGTCATTCTGGTTTCTTTACTCTCTCTACAGATGGAAGTGGCAGTCTTGCTTAAGTTAGTAATTGCAGAGGATATATTACTGGTCTTCCTATGCTCATGTGACTCTACATCTTTGTGCTGCCTATGCATTTATTCTTACAAATGATAGTGGAGTTTCACAGTAGAAAAGATACTTTTGTGTTAATCTAGGTAGTGCATTTTCTCAATGTGGAAGAGGGCCAAGGACATATTTCTGGGATAGTTGAAACCACAGGTAATTTATCTTCTGTTTGTGCCCTGGTATCCCAGGCAGACTTGAGAACCCCTTTGTGCTAAGTGCTGTGCAGGAACCTGTGAGGCTTGGTTTGGTTGCCAGAACGTGGATATTGCATAGCTCCTGATGCCCTGAGGTAGCAGAGACATCTGTTTAGGGGTTGTAGATATGACCTAGAATACATGAGACTTGAGGAATTATGGAGTAGCAGTGGAGTCTTCCTAGGGGACCCTAAGGCATTGCAAATGGTGTTAGATGTCTGTGTTTAACAGTGGAATTGAGTCAACAGGAATACCGCAAAGAGCTTACTGTCCTAATAAACAAGGCAGACACAAGGCAAAGGAGTGTAAAGCACCAGCAGCATGGTCAGGGCTGGCTAATGTCAAGAGGTTTCCCATATGTATTTGTACAAGTGGATGGAGTAAGTGAGTAACTGAGTGGGAAAAGAGGGATGTTTAAAGAGCAAGTGATTTGGAAGGGGGGAAAAAAGTGTGGGAGAGGAGGACAAAGTCAGAGGAGCCAGAGTACTAGCAAAGGTCCTTTGAGGGGCAGAAGGAGGAAATGGCCAGCAGCGCAAAAAAAAAAAAAAAAGCAACAGCTAGTCAAAACAAAATACTCTTCTTCCTGACTAGTGTTGGGAGGTTGCAGACCAGCAGCTGCTATGGACCTGCTTCTCTGCCTCGGGCATGAGCTGCCTGTCTGCTGAAGTTTGGTTTGCCATTGAGAGTCACAGGTCTTCACCAAACCTGATACTATATTTTGAAATAATGTATTAAAATCATCCGAAGATTCTTCTGGTCAAAATGCTTTACTAATGTTTATACTTAAAATCGCCACCTCCTCCTTTTACCTCTACTGCAGCCTTTTCTGTCTGGGGAGCAAGAGAGCCAAACATAGATTCAGCCTCATTTCTTTGGAGTGAACCAACTCCTTAACTCTCTGCTGTTTTGCTTCCCACTCAATGTCTGGCTACACAGTCTAGAAAACTGAGCGGGCAGTACTCACTCTGCTTCCTTTTCCTCCCCTTCCAAGCCCCCCCCCTCCCCGCCCCAGCTCTTTAACTTGCCATTATAAGCTACATGAGCTCTTGCACAGCTGTCTGCATAGGAAGATCTTGTCAAGCAGTCTAGCTCCCTGGAGCCAGCATCAATGTCAGGCAGGTGACAAAAGGCCAGGGCCAGAATTCAAGGAAAGCAGCATGGCAAAGAAATTCTCCTGCTTTCACTTCCAGGTGCTAGGGAACTGGTTAATTCCATGGAAATCCTTCTCTGCCAATACCCTGTTCTGCAGTGTTTTGGGAAAAAAAAGTGCATAAGTTGCCCTGATGATCATTAATTGCCTTTCTTAATGCTGGAAGAGGGAACTGCATTAACACCAGCTTCTGATTTACAGTTGTCATTGTGTAGCATCCTTTTTGCAGCTCTTTCCAAACTAGAGAGAATGTGTGTATAGAGTGAAATAGTAAAATCAGTTTTGGAATGGGAAGCTGGCTTCAGTCTGACCTGTGTAGAGCAAGAACACATCTAGCAGATGTAATATGTTATGAATGTTTTAGAAACTAAAGAAAAAATATTTCTGTAGTGGTTTGCTGCAAAGTGGCAAGCTGTCAATAAGATAAAGAGTTATGGGAGGTTGTCCATGTAGATGGAGCTGCTGAGGAGAAGACTCTTGTACTCCCATGCGGATATTGCAGAAAAACATACAGGAGTAATTGAAAAGAAGCTGATGCTTGAAAGAAGCAAGGTTTTCTGTAGCTGATGGCAACAATGAATACGGGGATTAAAAAGTTGAAAAGGAGAATGAAGTTCTGTTGTTTTTGGGATCCAATGAAAGAAGTAGAATTGACACAAGCACAACATGTCAAATCTATGTGAAAACATACTTGCTCAAGTAGAGAGTTCTACATGAACTGCAGTTTGTGTGGAATGTACTTAATCTTGATTCTGAGGAAGTGAAATTTCCCACTTGAAGAATGTTACTTGTTCAGCTGTAGAGGGTTCACTGGATAAATGATGTAGATAGAAATGACCTGATGGAGACTAATGTTGACCTTACCTGAATGTTTAAAGGTGCAGTAAGGTAAACTTAGTATCTGCTGTGTTTTCAGAACTGTATGGTTTTGATGTCCTTATTGATGACACTCTGAAGCCCTGGCTGTTGGAAGTGAACTTATCCCCATCACTGGCCTGGTAAGTGATTCCCAGTTTAATATGAGGCTGGAACTGTTGCTAGAGATGGTTGTCCTTGAAACTTGTGTTCCTAGGAGGGCATGATTTCATGATGTCTGCGGAGTATTTGTTCCAATGCTAAATTGACAGAGAGGATAGTCCTTTGCTTTTCCTGTTGCATAAACTTATTGCAGCAGTAGGTTTTGAAAGAACCCAGTTGGGATTCCATTTTCTTTTTAATTATTTCTCCTCCACAGTCCATCATCATTGTTAACACTTCATAATCTCCCATCATAGTTGAATTTTGAAACTCTCTAGGCTATTGTGTGGGGTTTCAATCTGCTTGGCTGAGTAGAAACTTCAAGATTTTGGAGTCCAAGCAGAGTTCAGGCATTATGCTGAACTTGAGTGTGTAGACACATGCTTGAGCTCAAGCTTTTGGTCTAGTACTCTCTAGCTAAAATCTGAAGAGTGAGTGTTGTCTTGGCTGTTATGCTGACCCTCATACTCTAATGAAACTTGAGGATTTATTTTCGTAGATCTCCAACTATGTGTGTTTTCTGGACTACTGTTTAACTTTACAGGAGCACAGATGCACAATACACTTTTGTAGTACTGAGTAGTATTTTAGTTATGACAGTATAAATAAGTTTAAGTTGTATGTTCCTGGAATAGCCATATCTGACTCTTTTTTTTTTTTTTTTCTTGCTTCTTTATCCTGCATAGATTTTTTTTTCACACACTGTTCATAACCCTGGCTTCCACAGTACCCATTTTGTTTTCAGGTGCAACTAAAATGTTTCCACAATATTTAATTTCCTGGTTTGGTGTTTGTGCTCATATACATACACGGTGAATTATTTGCATCCTTTGCTACTTAAAAGTCTTAACTTGCATCTGCATCCTTTGCTCTGCTTTGTTATGATTTCCATTTTATTTGTCCAAGCTGTTGGCATCTATGACTGCTGCAGAACATGGCTGATGTGTCGACTCTCTTGCCTGTCTGATCTGAACAGTATTCATTGATTACACACACACATCCCCCCCTGGATAAAATTATGGATGCTTCCCATCTGTCCCCACTGTCTGATCTCTTCAAATCCATCACCTTCCCTAAATGTTTGTTCCTATCCATTAAACTGACCCATCTGATTTTATGTGGAAGAGGTATAGTTAATTGTGGTTTTTAATAATTCTACAAGAGCAACCTCTATCTGCTCCATGAAACGTAGCATAGATAACGTTTGAAGAAAATGTTTCTAGCCAAGTAGAGCTAAAACAAGGCCATATGTTGTTGCATTAGAAGACTAAAGCTGTGAAAAAAGGATAAAGGGAAACAGATTAATGTGTTGCTGTTTCATCTTTACCTATGTGTGTGGAAATCACCTAGTTTTCCTCCCAAGCTGACTTTGTCTGTGTTAAGGACCAATACAAAGAAACTATATTGGAAGATATCTTGGATATTGATGTATTCCTCTCATTTAACCAGACAAATAATTCCTCTTGTCCTCTGTTGCATGTGGGTGTAGTGATGCTCCTTTGGACCTGAAGATCAAAGCTAGCATGCTTTCAGATATGTTCACCCTCGTAGGTGAGTGTAACAAAGTTCTTCAATCTTTCCCTCATTTAAAACCAATAAAAGGTAGGTTTGAGTTGTGTGTTATTAGGTGAGTATAGTAGAAAAATTTAGTTAAGCAGAGTAACTGTATTTAGCAGTGGGAAGTTATGTGTGGATATTTCAGCTACATAATAATCTGGCTGTTTGTGATGTTTAGGTGGTATTAAGAGTCCCTGGTTTGGTATTTGATGACATTACTCTTTCTTTTTAGCAGGTGACTTCTGTTTAGCCCACAGAATTGGTATTCATGCATTTATTTTTAGGTTGAGTGTGTGCATTCTGGTTAGGCTATGTTAGAAGTGGAGTCATGGTTGTGAGAGCTCCCTGACTGTCTAGTGCACAACGCCTTTTAGGCATCCATAGTACATCTTGGTTCAGTTACTTCCTGGAGCTTACCCCTAATACCAAAAGAGGCAGAATTGTTATCAGGTGACCTGCTCAGTTATTCAAGAAACAGAGCCTATTTCTATGCTGCTATTCAAGGACCCATCATATTGATTTAAGTACTTGGTTTTGAAGCAAGTTCCAGTTTTATTCAAAACATGTAATGCAATGTACAGTTTGGGATTAAACAAAGCAAGCTATAAAAAAGAAAAACATCCTTTTTGGTCCTTGGGCAGGGACAAAAAGGTCATGTATAGACAGAGATCATTAACAGGAATGCTAGGTTTATATTTCAGGGTTTGCCTGTCTTAAAATTCTCATGTGGCTCCTGATACCCACAGGCTTTGTGTGCCAGGATCCAGGCCAGCGGTCAAGCCGGGCTATTTATCATTCATCTGAATCTGCGAGGAGAAATCCGTACCAGAAGCTGCCAGTAAGTGACTTCAACAAGCCAGAGCTGAGGAGGACAGCAGGAAAGTCATTCTCATTGAATTTGGCTTATGGGTGAGAGGGTCAGTTGAGCGTGTGAGGTTTATCTGGTTTTCTAGCATAACTACAGAAGAGACTCAGGGAATGCACCTGAGCTACGGGCTTTTCAGCCGCTTTCGTTCTGTTGTGGGCAACAAGCTTTCAGAACCATAGAGCTTTATGAATGTCTCCCAAGACCTCCTTCTAGGCAGAAAGAGGTTTTTGCATTTGAAATTTAAGGCAGCTTTCCCATTCAGTCCTGGATCTTTCACTTCCTTTCCCATGGATCCTTGGGTTGCGGCCTCATGTGGCTTGCTGTGACTGTCCATTACCTTTTCTGCTGAGGTAGTGCTTTCTTAGCACTGTAATACTGAAGGGCAGTTGTTCTCTATCTCTTTTTGGCTGCGAGATGGATTCCATAAATATCTGTGGAAGTGGAGCGCTTACAAAAGGCAGGGAGATCCCCTATGTCATTTGGACTTTCAAATGCATTTCTCCGGCAAGTAGGCAGGCCGTGTATCCTGACGCTTTCTGCAGCTGATGCATATGCTCCTGGGAGGGACGTGCAACATGGCTGTGTAGCTCAAGTTCAATTAGCAAATGAAAAGTCATTTTTGTTCAGTGACAAAGTACCAATACCCTGTCTGTTTTGGTATAGGGAAAACTCACAGAAATAGCAATGTTTTGCTTCTTGTAAAACTCAGTGTCTTGAATCACTGAGAGAGAGGTGGATAGCTGGTAAGGTGAGTATCTCTAGGATGCGTGGCTGAATCCAAAGCTTCTAAAGCAAATTTAATAGATAATGTTTCATACAGATCCCTCTGGCCATAAAGGTGCTCTCTGTGGCAGACAAAAGGTATGTCAGTTAAATTAGGAACCATTCCAGAAAAAGTATTGTTCTCTCAAAGTAATGTGATCAGATCCTGGTAATTTGATGTCTTTTATCTGAAAAAAATTATACAAGATAGTACCAGAAAATTGAGCTGTTGAGAAGCATTGCATTTTAAGGAGGCTTTAAATTTGTAGATTTATTTTGCTGAAAAAAACACAAATAGATATAAGGCCTGGCCAGTTGAAATGTGCAAAGATTAATATGACAGAGCAATGGCTATGAGATGATATTAACTTACCTTTTGGGACAGGTGTCCCCCTTACCTATGTTGACTAGAAACAGGCTTCTAATCCAGTGATAAAATTTTATAGCATGTTTTTTTTTCTTAAGTACCTAAATAGGTGAATCCCATTGTTCAAGAATGTTTTAACCTGCTCTTTGCTGAATGCATTTTATCTCAGATTGTTGGATCTTTGATACTTCTGTTCCCGTTCTCAGTCGCAAAGGGTACTTTGAACCTCTTGTTTTTCTGAACTCCTTAATTATGTCTTAAGTTTTGATTGTTCACGTAGGCCATCTTTAAACATTGTAAAAGTTGCTTCTTGGGAAAGAAATGCTCAGAGCAGCATGCTTGGTCATCAGATAGTTATTCTATTTTCTGAGTTTCACCAGACTGGACTGCAAGTTCCTTATGCAATTTCTTTGGTTTCACTCTGAGCATTTTTCCCTCTAGGGAAATAAGCAATTTAGCTGCTTCCTTTAACTTATTGTTGATTTGGGTTGGAGCTTTTTTCAGTTAATCGTAAGCAATAAAGGGACCTCAACCTGTTTTGTGTAGACCAACTGTAGAGAACTTGGCAGTAGTACAGCTAGAAATGATAGATGGGTATCTTGAGAATCCTTTCTTACACCACTTGCTCTTTTTGGGCATTGGAGAGGAGGAAGACAGCCTGAATGCCACTGAAGGCAAGAAAAATCTAAGCTCCTATGATAATAGTTTTCTTTTGACTCTACCCCTGTCATTAAACTGGTCTTGCTTGTAGGCCTGATGCCAGATAAGTAATACAGGGTCCATTTTAACACTCTGCTATTCCTACACCTGTTTTGGAATCTTAAATAGCATCTTGTTTCTTCACAAGAACTGGAGTATTGTTGAGATATGTAAATGAAATGGCTTCTGGGTGTTCAGGATGTCTACTGTGTTTTTTACCCCCTCAGTTCTATGAACAATTCTACTCAACAGCATCTGTTTCTCTTTAATACATAGCTATTAAATATTTTCCTCTGGGTAACTCTTATCTTACAAAAATATGAATTTTGATCATGAAAGTTGAGGTCATTCATCTGTTCTGCAGAGCTCTTTGTGCTTTTGAAAATTGTGTGTATGTGCAGATGGATTCTGCACAGTTGAGCACATCTGAAGTTAGGATTACTGCCTCGTTCGGAATGGGGACGGGATACGTTTGTGGATGATATGAAGATGGTCTGAACTGAGATGATAAAAGCTGTTAGCTATATCTCTGGACTTCAGTTATGCCCTTTAGCTTTAGGGCACTCACAATGTCTCTGCAACTTGGGCAGGGATGATAGTGTCTTGGAGAACGCAAAGTTTTTATTGTCTTTGTGTGTCTCTTGCAGCGTCCTGTGTCTGCACAGTCACAAACAGCAAACACCAGATTGGTAAGTACCCTTCAGGTCCCTTCACCAGCATAAGGGATGCAATTTCAAATGCTACCTCGTACAATACTTTTGGCGCAATTGATCCCAAAATATATTTTGCAGCTAAGTAGCCCGGTGGGGAGAAAAGTCAACAAAAAAAGTGGAGATAGATAAGTACTGGCATATGTTTCCATGTGGCTAGAGCAAAGGTTGGAAAAACACTTAAATCAGTTCTAGCAGCTTAAAAAAAGAGTAGGTGGGGTGTGCTGAGTGTCAAGGTCAACTGGGTCAAATCCCTCAAAGTTTTTAAGCCTACAAGTATTTCTGAACTGCATTTTAAACAAGTTGGATATAGATTTTAAAGATAAAGTTGTCCTCTGGTTATCAAATGATGGAGACAGTGGAAGCACAGTATTCTGGATTTGGTATGTCCTTGAAAAGGACAGCACAAAAACAAAGGAAGAGCTGGTGAAAGCAGCAGCAAATAGGAGTGTCGCACCAAAAGGGAGGAGGAATTTTTGTCGTGTCCTACAGGGGATGAAATAAGGATATGAATGAAAAGGATAGCACAGGTGAATCTGTATTGAAAAAATTCAGGTGGCCCCCGTAAGAGAAGTAATTATTTTTTGTGAGACAGTCATCTGAAGGAAACTATAAAAATTTGAGTGAACTGGGTCAAAATAGATAGAGAGATAAGAAGGATTTCTTAAAGATAATGGGAAAATGTAGAACTATAGTTAGCATAAGTCACACTGATCCACCTTTCTAAATGTCACATTTGGCATCCTCCTTGTAAGCCATATGGACAAATCAAAGTTAGTTTACAATTCTAAGCACCTGGCTGTGTGGGGACACGGTAGGCATTATTTTGCTGCTGGGCTTCCTGCATGAACTTAATAGCAATGATTCTCATGTTTTTTGAGGTTTCCCAGCAGGAAGGAAGGTGGGACAGATGGAATCATCTTGAGAACCTAATTCATTCTATGCACTGCCATTTATGTCATTCTGTGTAAGTTTAGCTGAGGCTAAGAGAAAAGAGTCTTATTGAATAATGAGGTTTCATAGAGAATAGGAAGGATCTTTGTGCCAATTGCTGGCAGTGCTTAGTATAATTAGAATCACGATGTGGGAACCAGAGATGCTTGCAGAATTTGGAGATAAAACAATGTGGCTGGATTTATTTATACTTTTAAAGATAAGCTGGATCAAAGAGGAAACAAGATCTTTGTGAACTTGGAGACATTTCTGTGCTATAGCCAGAGAGAATTCTGCAGTGAAGAACTGAAAAAAAACCTGTTTGTTCAGGAAGTTCAGTAAAGTTAGTTTTATCTCTAGCATTTTGATGGTGTAGTTTGTTCTCAGGTAGGAGACAGAGCTTCACTAGTCGTAGGAGCCAGAGCTGCCAATACATAGGCATACATTTTCTGTTTGTAGTCAATGAAATCATCTCCATTGTATCGAGAGACAATGGAGGCGATTTCATTGAAGTATTTCCTTAGTAAAGGAGATCATCTGATAGGATGAAAAACTTCCTGTAATATTCTCTTTGAGCAGCAGTTCCCACATGATGATTGTTACAGTAGTATCAGGAAATGGTTTTTAAGAGGAGGTTTTAGAGGAAGTTATTAAGCAAAGTTGTTGAGTTGTGCTTTTGAAATGGAGGAGAGCTTAGGGAGAGAGACTAAAAACCTTTTAACTTAATGCCATCTATAGCATCAAGCAAATCTGCTTCTTCTGCAAACGCTTGTGTCTCCTACCTTTTCATCCAGATTTTTTCTCTCATTTTATTTAATTAGTTTTCATCAGGATTAACAAAATGTTTCAGCTGGCACCTGCTATATCTGTTTCCTCTTTGAATCTTTCTGTGCCAATCACTGCAGTGTAACCCATTCTAGTGCAATGCCTGTTGCTTTTGCAATTGCTTCATCTGCAGATTCTGAATAGCCGCTTGCAATTTCTAATGAAACGGAGAACGGAATTAAATTCCAGTAGTCCTTACAAATAAAGATACAACCTGATCTTGCCATGAGTTTTATATCTGAGCAAGTAGGAGATATTTTCCTGGGCTTATCCATCTGAAGGGTTCTGTCGTGGTTTTCTTCTAGATTAAGAAGGCGCTCTGTGCATTCTTTGCTCATTACAGTGCTAAAAGAAAATTTTAATTTTGTATAAAAGCATGAGACCTCAGCTAGACTCTTTTAATGCTGTTTTTTAGAGGTAGTTTATCTGAACTGGGCCTAAGACCATCTAAAGTGTACTTGAGAACATGTTCAAACATTTCAGTCTTGCTGGTGTTTTAATATTTTTTTATAATCCTGATAATTTGAAGACACTTTGAATTCCTATCCTTTGTTAGAGTTGATCAGGACTGCCCATCAGGTTAAGCATGAGCTTGGAGAGACTGTCTGCAAATCATTTCTTTTCTTATTTTTAAAATTTGCATGTATATGCAAATTTGCATGATGTATCTTATGTACATATGCAAGATCAGTCCATTAACTGAGTGAAGTAGCAAGTTGAGATCCAGCAGTATAGTAACAAAAGAGTAACAGATGGTGAACTGAAGTTTTCACTTTTTCCCTGCAACTTCAACTCATCAGTGAATTATAGTTCTGTTCTTCTAGTGTAGTGACGCAACTGGAACAGAGAAACATGGTTCTGGTACCATTGAGGTGAATCCAAGTGTATTTGGCGCCCGTGAGTGTGAATGCTGGCTCTAGTGCCCCTTGGCTGAGGACTTCTCTGTATGAAGTCCTGGCTTTGGTGCTTTTTGAGTATGTCTCATGTCTTTCTGGAAGGGCCAGGGGTGTAAATGTCAGCACTGATGCCTAAATTGTGAGTCCTGCTGTGCTAAAAACTAGGAATGTGAATACTCATGCTTAGTGCCTGCTGGGGTGTGGACTCCTGAACAGCTGGAGTGTGGAATTGTGAATTCTGGCTGTAGTACTCTCGAGTGTAGATTCTGCTGGGAATGGGGTCCTAGAATTTGAATGTAAATGGTTTGGGGTTTTTTTAAAGTAAATTGAGAGGGGAAAAGGGAAAAATCTGGATTCACATTGTCTCTACAGCGTGCCCGTCCTCTGTCTGCCAGTGATGCTGAAATTAAAAACCCAATGCCCTCAGGCAAGGAAAAAGCAACAGGAAAGCAAGGCATCTCTGTGCTAGGTCTATCCATGGAGGAGGTAGGTAGACTATTAAATATCTTTTATTTACCTTGGCTTTCATGCAATATTTGGGGTTATTTGTTCAGCAAAGACCAAGTGCATATATATATACGAAAAACTTGACAGAAGTATAATTTTTGAACTGTTGAGTTTTACTGCTGGTACTGCCCTTGCCCTTAGTCATGCCAGGCATACGTATGTGTTCCAAACAGTGGTAGACTCCTTCAGAATTTAAATGCAAGATAAAATTGCTTAAGGATACCATATGCACCCAGCCCACTCCCAGGACTGCAGTAATAGTCTTGTCCTCTGAAACTCAGATATATTTTTTTCCTAGGGTTTAATTTTCATTGTATCTATTTTGCTGGCTTATTTTTTCCCTCTTTTTATTCCAAGATAAAAGTTCTTCGTCGAGTGAGAGAGGAGAATGAACGGAGAGGAGGTTTCATCCGCATATTCCCTACTCCATCAACATGGGACCTTTACGGGTAAGAATGAGTCCAATAGGATGGCTCAGTGTTGCACTGGTGCTCTGTGTTGAGGGATATTCTGTGTTAGATATACGTAGATCAACAAACTTAGCAATCAGAAAGACACATATTGAGGGGTTTGGTAGAGTTTATTTTAGCATTGAGGATGCTTTTTTCTGATCCCTTGTCTTTAACTGCTGCTGCTTTGCCTAACTGTGCCTCACGGAAGGCTATTGAGCATTGTTTCTGGTGTTGCTTTTCCATCAGAATAAAAATGTCCTCACTTCAGAGAGTCCGTTCCTGCTATCTGCTTTTACATCCTAGAGCTGTCCATACTGTGTACTCTGTCATTAGGCCATAAACAATATAGGACTCATGCTGTGACTGATACTACATTATGCTTTTCTGTTTCTTTCTGTTCCAGTCTGTAATGTTTCTCTGTGTCTCTTGCCTCACCAGGAACTTCAGCTGAGAAGTGATAGCTCTCCTCCTTTCTTCTTTTCTGTTATGGCACAGCGTATTGTCTCGATCCACTTCTGGGATGTTTTTTATAGATCATTTATTTCTCTATTATGCTGCCTTTCATTGTGTTGAGCTCTATCTTTATACATCCTGTATTTTGCTTTTCTAGATCGTTTTTAGAGCACAAGACATCAATGAACTACATGCTGGCTACACGTCTGTTTCAGGACAGGTAGAAAGCTTTACTATTTGGGAGGGAGGCAAAAGGCATAAACAGCATGAAAAGGATTGATTCTTCACTTATCCAATATTATAAACACTGGGCTGTGATTTATATGGGTGGTAATAGTTGTATGTCTCTTCTGTAGTGTGCCAGTGACTGGAGGTTTCTCATATTTTTACGAGTTGTCCTTCTGAATCTAAGGGGAAAAAGGACAATACACAAAAGGCATGGAAGTTAATGGAGTAAAAACATGACTATAGACAGGAAAAACCTTCAAGCACCTGGATTCCTCTATGATGGGATTATAGGTGGTCATTGCTTACCTTTTTTTTTTCAAATTTAGTCATGTTAGAGCTTGTCCTTGTGTAAAGTAAGCACTGAAATTTATTCCAAAAGTTTAGTATCCCTATGTCTTCACCTGTGCAAGTGTGATTTGATGTCTCTTTCTCTGTGTTGTGCTAGGGTGGGAATGACAGTTCATGCTGCTAGCTGAACTTCCATTGAGAGTTGTATGCAGTATCGTTCACTGTATGTTTAACACCTTTCCTTCTCGATGTTTTTTTTATCCAAATTTGAGATACACAAAGTAACTACGGAGTAAGGATAAGGTTGCTGACTGAGGAGACAATATTTACAGAAGTTCATCAGCGCTGTACAATTTTTTAATTATTTCTTTTTTGCTATGTACTTTCAGGGATCTGTCTAGAGGGTAGTTCCAAATGACAGCTTCTCCAATTTAAGCCAGACAAATGCAAGAATCAATTGTAGAACAGCTGCTCAGATTTCCTCTTTTGGAGCATTTTTTTTCCTCTCCTTTAAGATAGAACTCACAAGGAATTCTGTAAATTGGGCCTTTTCATTGTACATATGAAAGACTTCAGAGGCTTTTTAATCCAGTCGATCCAGAATGGAAGGTAATTTTTGCCATTTTTCCCATTGTAGGGGCAAGAAGAAAACAGACTTTGTCACTGGGAGATCCCGGTAAATGGCTTCTTAATTAAATAATTTATACTTTGGAGGATTTGTTCTAAATTTAGATTTCCACAGCTTCATCTTCCACGTTCTAATTCTAGAAAAGTAAATACAGTGAGCAAAGAGTATCCCAGCATGGTTTTGTTGGATTGAACCTCAAAATTGCTCCTCTTAGGCTTTCTACTTTGATATTCCTACCATATTGCTAAACCACAACACTGAGTTCTCTCAAAAGATCCTGTAATGCATGAGGATTTTGGACTTATACCCATATATTCACTTTTCACTTATCTTTTAGATATAGCAGAAACAGGAATTTTCTGTGGATGTTCCCACTTCTATCATAAAGAACACTTTGGATCTTTGTGCACTGGCAAAAAGTTATGTTTGTTTCCCTTAAGGAATCTGGCAGGGCTCCTTCTCCCTTGGTTTACGCAGAACTTGTAGAAAGGTTGTAATTTTTCACTCAAATTATATTAAAATTCTTATTTCTGACCAAACAGTGAAGAACAAGGTGTCTACATAAAAGGTTCAGAAAACTGGACTCAGGTCCATGTGCTGTCTTCTCGCTCCCCTCCATTATTTTGTACTCTTGCAATCCAATTTTCTGCATTAATTGTGTCTTGAGCTGCTGCATGATGGACAGATGCTGCTCAGTCACGAAAGCATGACATTAGATAAGTGCGTTTTGGGGCTTTGAGAGTTGATGTTCTGTAAAGTACTTGCAAGACTCCCTTCAAACATTTGCAGGCTTTAAATAGAGCAAAATTAGACTGATCGTAAGTATTTCTTCCCTGTGTCAGGAAAACTGTTTCTTGAAGAAATTTAATCTACTAAGTCTCTTGTGTCATCAAGGAGAGAAGTATAAAGGGAGATTGAGGATGTCTCTCTATTCTGCTTCCCAGAGCAGGTTTTAATGGAAGGCTGGATGTGAGGCTGGAAGCTGTAGACTCTCATTCTCTTTTTTATGAGAGAAAGCTTGTTTCACTGGAGTTACGGAAGCGTCGGCGATGTCATGGCAAGGCTAGAACAGCACGGACAAGATCATCAGGTATGTGTGGCTGGAGTCCTAAATGAGCAACTAATCAAAACAAAGCAAGGACTCTTTTCATTTAAAATGTGTGTGAATGGGGTTGTTCTGGCCTTTGTAGTCCCTAGAGAGATTCACAGGTTGAAGTTTTCATAGTTTTCATTTCAAGTGTTAATGGTTTTCACTTCACTCTTTTTTCTGAGCTTTCTGCCTTATTAGAGACTAGAATTTCATTCCTACTATTCCACATCCCCATGTATATGACGAAAGGTAATCAATATTTTCTTGAAGATAAGCTTGTGGTTGCCTTTTGCGTCCAAGAATTCAGCAGTATGCGACTCAGCTTTTGGAAAGACAGAAATCATTATCCAAGCTGATGTGGGAAAAACTTAAAAGGATACAGAGGTGAATGATCCTCAAAAGGGGCTGCTACTGAAGCCATAATCTAAACTCTTTCTAGTCACTATGTGATATGGATTGCAATGGGAGAGATTGTTACCTTAATACAGCACCAAAATCATTTTCGGATTGCAATGGGAGAGATTGTTACAAAATGATTTTGGTGCTGTATTAAGGTATGTGATCTGTATTGGCACATGTGGGAGTTTAGATTTCATAGCTTTGTTTTTTTCTGACACAAAAATACAAAAAATTAGCATATACATCAAGTGTGAGACTATATATGTCAGTATATATGTAAGAATCAGGATAAAATACAGGAAAATACCTTTGTTTCTTTGATTTGTGTTTTTTTCATTTGTACAGTTAATCTTGGTCTTTTTTCTCTGATATTGGGAAAATTGCCTTCTCAAGTGGTTGATACTAAAGCAGAAAGACAGAAAGAATAATAAAGGGCAGCAATACTTAAGATACTATCCTAAAATGGAGGTGTTCTGTCCTTCTAGCAGAAAAGAGTTTAGAAGTAAACCAAAGGGTATAAATAGCAGGCCAGTCTTCCCCACTTCTTTTTTTTTTTTTTTCCCCTCTTTTTCCTTAACCAGCATAAGTGATTTCTCCTCTACTACAGGGACATCAGACCCAACAAAGCTGTCTCTCAAATCAGACACAGAAGGTGAGGAGGAAGAGGAGGTGGATGCAGATGAAGATGAAGACTTAGATAGAACTGTTGGGTCTCTTTTGGACACCCAGGTGAAAAGCAAGCCAAAGCTCTCTGACTTGATGAAAAATACTTGTCGGGAGAGGTTGCCAAAAAAGCTTGACAAGGAAACTGGAGGTGGAGGAGAGCCATTTCTTCGAAAAACAGACTCAGAATCTCAGTTTAACTTGCTGCAGATTCTTCAAAAGCATGGAAATCTGAGGTGAGAATTGCCTTAAGTTTTGACTAGCAGCTAATATTGGTTAAAACATGGAGGATGTGCCACATCATGAATGAGTGTGAGGACATAAGAGGACCCTAGAGAAAAGGGCCTGGGGTTTTTGTCTAACTGTGGGCTGCCTTAACAACTAGGTGGCACAGAAAGGAGATCGTTGAAAAGACTGATGGTTTACCTAAATGCCTGACCTGTTGGATCAGTAAAAAGTGTAAGCCATAATTTCCATTGCTATTCTCTGATGTGATGATGGAAGCTGTTTTTTGGTCAACTCGGGCTTCTAAAATGAGTCTCTGTCTTAATGCAGGATGCCTGCTATTGAATTCTAAAATTCGTCTTTTCATTCTTTGCACTTCCAAAGAAGTGGGTATAAACATATATTAAACTATCAAAGAAAAGTTGCTTAGGACTACCTGAGTGCTTTTATTTTTGGTGATAGAATTTTTAACCTCTAATAATAATCTCTGCTCGGGGTCATCACCTCCTGACAGCAAGATTTGGGAGTGACAAGTTACTGAAACATCTCATTGCCTGCTGTTGGGTATGGCAGCATGAAGCAGAGCGTGTTCTGATGCTTGGCTCTCTTGCTTGAAAAAGAGAGGTGCTGGAGGAGATTGCGTAGAATAAAACCAACCAGGGTCCTACTAGATGTTTAAAAGCATGATCCTCCCCTTAAATGTGGGTAGTAAAACTGTCTATTTGCAGATGGACAGGAATGGCAAAAAGAAAGTCATCATGTATATCTGTGTAGGAGGATTTTACATCTTCTAGGTAAGAAGCAGCATTGTTTTCTGTGAAAAATATCCAAGGGCAGAGAAAATAATTGTTGCTTGTTGTTGCTTTCTTAATTCAAAAATCCTCTCAGAAACGAAACTATCAAATGGATTTGGGGATTGTTCTGATGTTGTCTTGTGGCAGCAACATTTGCTGTCATGACAGGGAAGATTCTGATACCTGTTTTAAGGATGAACTCAGTAATGCTCTTGTCTACCTATATATAGAACTGACTCCTGCCAAGAATGTAAGCTCTGTCTGGTGTTCCTGGCAGGAACTTGCTCAGTGCCCCGTACTATTGGGATTCCCCACAGAAGCGTGTGAGGCTTGTGGTGACCTCATGTTCCAGGACTGTGCTGGGCTTGGCCCTATCTGATTTGTCATTGATGAAAGGCTTGCTTGTGGGGTCAACAGGCAGAGGAGCTGAAGTAATGAAAATTTCATCCAAAAGAAACCAGGCCTGTTCCAGTCAGTTTTTATAAGTGTTAGGACTTCTCTCTTTCCTCTGGTCGGCCTCATGAGGCAATTTCTCTGCCTTCCACATATTCTGTATTATTGGTGAAGAGCTGACAGTCAAATGAAACTTGTTCCCCTGACTGTGCCATTTCCAGGGAAGTAAAAAGAAAAGGGAGTTACTTGTTCCTGCATTTAAGGTCTCAGGTTTCAATATTCCTCATACTGGAGGAGAGGCAGTCTTATACACAAGGACTTTCTTCAGGTTCCCATTTTGTAATCACAGAAGTATCAGGTGCAGGCAAATAATTGTGTTACCATGCTGACGTTGATAATGGAGGGTCCTTAATTCCTACCAGCACAGATCTTAAACTTCTGGTCACAAGATGTTTAAGTTACACCTAAAACAAACCTGGCAGTCCTAGAGAGCCCTTGGGAGAGAGCCTTTTCTGATATATGGTGGCCTGATGTGTAGAGTATTGGTTCTTAGTCAGGGTTCGGATTGTTGTCCTGATGTTCCACACAGATCAGGAAGAGAATGTAGGTGTGATGACGAGTGGCATGCAGAGCTTAGAGGTGTTAAAGGCCTGCTGTGCATTCTGGAGTTCAATGGAAGACAGGAATTGTAACCAGGTATTTTTAACATATTTTAGTTACTGCAGTACTGGTATAGGAGAGGAGGAATCATGCTTGGCAATTCAAAGGACAGCTTGTAGTGACTATGGGGAAAGCCACGAGGAAGAGTGGAGCTTGGGAGAGCAGACTGTTGGAGAACAGGGTTTAGGCCAAGATGACAACGAACAAAATTAGTCAAAGCTTTCAGCAATTTCTGTCATAACAGATGTGTACACTAAAGTCACTACCATTGTGAGGGAACGAGAAGCAATGTGTCCCTCCCAGTCCTCTCCTCAGTTCATGCTCGCAGCTTCCCAACATGTTCAGCCAGCTGCACAGCAGATTTTGCTGATGTTCTTTCATTCTTCAGTGGTGCCTTGCTCAATGAAATTTGGCTTGTGTCCTTGGGCCAGAAGGGGAAGAGCTTACTTTTGCAGATTTAATTCTTTCATTTCCAATGGGAATTGTAGGGCCTTTGTTATAACTCTGGCACCAGTACCAAGCCCTTTATTTATTTTATGCTCTGTTGTTGTGGTGTTCAAAATGCTTGTGAAGACAGAGGCCCAACAGAGCCTTGAATTTGGTTTAAAAATACACAGTATTGCTGATGTTCATGTTATTGGCTTTTGGAGGAGAGCAGCTAAGGCTATGAAAAGGCAAGGATAGCATTCCATTTTTAGAGATGATCTTAGCATCTGCTGTATTTTGTAAGTTCTCTCTCCTGCAATACCAACCCTATCTTGGTGAACTGAAGGTCGCGTTGAAAATACTGGTGGGGTGAAAGGGTCCTTCTTCCTTTGAGCTTCAATATTTCTGTACCTAGGAGGTGCTTGCTGACCGTACTTTGGTCCATAAGCTGTGCCTGATTTCTGTAACTCTTCTCGTTACTACTCTGAAGACAGCTGACTGATTGTCTTGGTCCACAGCAAAGTGCAAGCTCGCAGGGCTTTCTCTGCCTATCTACAGCATGTTCAGTTGCGGCTGATGAAGGAGGCTGGTGACCAGATCCAGAATCCTGCCTGGGCTGCCAAAGAGGATGAGCAAATGGTAAGCTTTGTGTTGGCCACACTGAGTAGCCAAGCTGAACGCTGCCTTGTGAGTTTTTTAGGTCAATTCCCAACGTTGAAAGAACTCAAGTCCAACTGAGATTATAGTTGTCTATCTTTGTCCAGCTGCCAGTGCTGTATTTTTAATATACAGACGAGGTAGGACTTCTGACTGATGTCTGAGCGGCGATAGAGTAGACAGCTCTTAATGACTAGAGTGTGGTTGACGTTCAAGCTGCTGAAATCTTTCACTGGTTCTCCTTCAGTGATCTCTGAGCTTTACCTGGTTTTGAATTCTTCTTTCTAAGATTGCTTCGCAGAATCTGGTTTCTGCTGTGTTAAACAAAGCATACATCTACTCAAATAGAACAGGTTCCCAGTTAAGCTTTTTCTCCTATGTACTGTTTTACTCTTTGCAGGCACCTGTGCTTAGGAATCTTCCTTGCATTCTGGATAGAGGGAAAAAATGTAAAAGCCACTGAAGAGAGAAAGTTACTTTCTAGCATGGGTGCAGTTCCGTTTTTGTTTGTTTTATTTTAAAAAGTGGTAATTTTTTCTAGGCAATATTTTAAGGCCCTATATTTGATGTATATATGTTTTAAAGAGTACAGCAATCCCAGATCCCCTCACAAACATTCGTAAGAGCTCTGTAAAGTAGGGTCTTGAGCTTTCTGTGGATCCAAATGTATTCTTGCTGAATGCATGTTGCAGGGAAACAGCCAGTGCAGTTCAGAGATAAAATTGTATGTCAAGAATAATCAGTCGACTCAGTGGAAAATGTTACCCCTGCTCTTTCCAAGTGGAAATTAAAACTGGCTTTTTGAGAGTCACTTTGTCTGCTGTACTGTGAAAAATAATGTTTAAAATAACAGATCAAACCAGCCTGGAGTAATGGCAGTGAGAGGCGAGCTGTGAAATCCAATAGTTTGGCTGTGAGGCTGCTCATTTATGCATTACCAGAGCTTCTAACCAAAAGCAAATCCAGAGGGGAGACAGAAAGGGTTCAAAACACACAGAGGATACATCTTTCCTTAGGATCTGCCTTCCCGTATGCCTCCTTCACCAAAGGTCAAACAGATATGGTGGGGGATTGGAATTACATGGCTGTAGATGTAATCATCTATTGCTGTGGCAATAGTATGCATGTATGAAAAGTGATGAAATGGGGCTACATCGTTGTAGTGGAGATTTCTGACCAAGATCCCCTTCCCTGTGATAGTGCTGAGAGGGTTTTATGTCAGTATGCTTCATCACAGGCCTTCTTTAACACACAGCAGAGGTTTTATGGAAATGTTCTCCTAAGGTATTGGACTTCACAGGTTATTATGTGTTGTTGCTGCTTTTTGTGGCTTCTTTTTTGTTTTTTTTGTATCATCTGCCAGGCTTTTCAGACAAACACTCCTCACGTGTTCCCAATTCTGACCCGCCTCAGGCAAGGCACACCATCATTCTTCTCCCCCCACCTTGGATTTGGGCTACATTGAAAATGCATCTTGCAGAATGCTTTTGCCTGCCAGTTATCAGCTCATTTTCTTAAGACGATGTTTAGTTCTTGCCAGTCATTAGCTGCTGTAATACCTCTGTTCTCTTCTCCCCACATCTTGCAGCTGGTCCATTGTTAACTCCATCTCTCGTGCAGGAACTTGTGGTACGCTTTCTGAAGCGAGCTGCCAGCAATCTTCAGCAGTCCTTGAGGATGCTGCTCCCCAGCCGTCGTTTAGGACTAAATGATCGGCGGCGTATCCTGGCTCACCAACTGGGCGAGTTCATAATCTGTTACAACAAGGTGAGTAATTCTTTCTTGATTCTTCTTTTGGTATCCCTTTTCGTTTCTGTTCTTCTAAAGTATCTCCTGCTGGGCTGCTATCATAGTCAAGACAGCAGGCTGTTTTAAAGGCTCTGTTCTGTAATTTACATGGTCTGTTTGCAGTTGTGCATCCGGTAATGGTAGTTTCTGTTCAAATTGTCAGATAGACAACAGTATTACTACATTATATATGCATTCTGGTAATCATGTGTATAAAAGTTAAAAGAAGCATTGAAATGAAATTTAACTGTCAGTTGGCTTTTTCTTTGGCTTGTCCTTTATTCTGGTGCTTTGTAATGCCTCTTGCCATTTCTCCCTATTTTTATGATGCTTCTTTAGGGATAATTTTTTAAATACAGAACAGCATGAAATATATATTGTACCATTTGTTTGGTATACTGAGGGACTGCTTCCTATCCTATCTGTAGTATGGGACTTTGCATGCTCAGTGGTAAGAAGTAGGTCCTGATTTAAATAATCTTCACCTCTTTAGCTGTAGAAGATGCTGTTCTTAGCATAGTGGTTTCATGCTAATGCTTGTTTTGCAAGAACAGCTTCTGCTTTCCTTTGCCCCCTAGCATTTCTTTAGTTCTAGAACAAGGGTAGTTTAAATTTTGCTTTCAGAGGCTGCTGTGCACACTGCCCTCCAAGCTCCTACTTGTTAGCAGAGGATGTTCACTTACATTACCTTGTCAGAACTGACATCTGGTAACCTGATCTGTCAAGGCAAGGTTGGTATTGAACCAAATCTGTTCCAGGGAGTGCCTTGTATGCCTAATGCTTGCTGAATTACTGTGTTAGGAGTAACCACAAAACACTCGGGTGGCTCTGTGGTGAGTGAAGAACGCAGCTGTTTTGGATAAAATTTCCACTCAAATTGTATTCAAACATCAGGATTTTCTACTAACTCTTGAGTAAATTCACAAAATAAAGCTATGTAACTGGTAATAAATCAGTGCATAAGCATATTTTCTCAGTTAAAACAAGTGAGAACAGATCGCTTGAGGTTTTAGGATGTACATGTTTAAGCCATTGAGAGACGCTTAGGCTATGGGTTTTTTGATGTCTGATTCCAACGTATAGACTTCTTTCACTGATTTGTAACTTCAGATTTAGTAGGGGACTCCTAGTAGCCATTATATATCTTCTGTAATGACACAAAGGAAAAATGCTACCTCCAGCAAACTAAGTAAAACAGATTGCGTATTTTCCAGACTTTTACTTTAGTGAAGGGCAGGGACATGTTCCAGAGTGGCTGCTTCTTCCCCCTCTTGACTTATCTTTCAAAAGATGTATCTGACCCTTTTGTCATGGGAATGTGCAGAGTACCAGTAGGAAGCAATGAAGTGGAGGTCAAGTCCAGTCAGAGAGGATTTTAAATTAAGAAAGCAACACCCCCCTCCCCCTACCCATACTTCCTTATGTCCCAGCAAAGAGTATGTTTGAAGGAGGAGCATGTATATATGAAGACTTGACCTCTTTTCAGCAAATCAATTCTAATAAGTTCTGTCAAGTGGTGGAACGAGGAGTTTAATGTATGCTTAGCATGCTGTCTGTAGTGCTGTCTATATTTATCCATTCTGTTACACATAGTAAAATACTTAAAATTTGGCTCTTTGGAGTTGATGCTGTTTTTTTCTTAGATCCCGTGGAATTGGGTTTTTGTCTTCTCTGAGCTGTAGCTATGCCATGGATCATAAAGTAACTGTACAGAGACACTTACTGATACTGCTTATTAACAGGAAACAGAGCAGATGGTTCAGAAGCAACCAAAAAAGAAACGGGAAGAGGAGGAGGAGGGAGTGAATCCTGAAGGTTTTCAGAACTTTATTACCAGAGCAAGGTAGGGATGGATTTTATTCCCTTTGACAAAGGATCTCCCAACCCTGAAAGTAATGGGATTGTTCTAAAGATTACCTGATTGGTCTAAAGGCCTTTAAGTACCTTTATTGACTGTAACACCTGTTCCTGCTGGGGGACGGACAACTTGTCTTTTCTCTTTTCTCCCTTCTAGCAACCAAACATTTGTAGCATCAGCATCTGTGCATAGAGAAGGACATAAAAGTAGATGTTTTGACCATTAAATACATTCCCAAAGGACAGTAGTGGTTGCCCTGGTCTGTGTAAATTTCAAACTGATGCTGGTGAGCTAATAGTCTCCTTTACTGTGATACTGGAGCGAACAGAGCAGTACTTTGGAAGGACAATGAAACTAGAGCTGCAGCTCAGATGGCCTTGAACTGCTGTGGTTGAACAATTGTTTTGGCTCTGGCTGTCAAGTTTCTACTCTCAGAAACAAATCTTGTGCTTGTTCCCTCTCTTCAGGAACAATTCGGGTCTGGACTTCAAGATGAGGAAGGAAGGGAGTTAGACCCCTATCTTCATTCTAGGCTCTTATTTGGCTTGCTGAGGCAGCTCAGTGCAAGCAGTTATTTTCACAATGAAAAAGCAGTATTTTCTAACTGTGCATGTTCCAAACTTTATCTACCTTAAACGTACAAGAGTCTAGTAGGAAACCTATTTTGAAAATAGGTGAATACTCTTTATGGCCTGTAGCGTTGTATGAAAAACAATGGTATTATAGCTATTTGACTATGGAGAGGTCTGAAATTATTCAGTGAACTGGAATTGTGTCCTCAAACTCTCTGATTCTTAAGCATAAAACCAGATTCCTTTTGAATCCTTTATTTGACCCATATATGACGTGCCTATATGGGCAAGGACTCCCATCAATATCTGGACAAGTGGACCTCACCTGCCTTTTTAATGCCCTTCTGTCTTCTCTGGGAAGGTTGACAGTCATGCTTCTTTTTCATGATCAGTTATGAAACTGCTTGTTCTTTTTCTCTGTTTGGATGGCACTTAGTGCCTGATTAGAAGTGGATGATAGCTGAGGCTTCTTAACTAAGTTCAGGAGGCTTTACAGTCTCTTTTGATGCTACATTCACATTATAACAATAAATTTTACGTTTTGCTAATATGTATTGGAGTCATTACTGCAACAGATTTACAGGCTCCAAGAAAAATCTTGCTGCTTTTCAGATAGAGTATAAAAGAATGATACTCAAGATATCTCACTACTGTATACCATAGCATCTATTGCTGTCACTAGAAATGCAGATTACATGGGCCCATGGCATGGTCTTGGTTCTCTGACATCTCTGTCCACTGAAATGACTGTTGCCTCCTAAGGCAGATCATTTTGCTTTTTGCCAGAAATGCCAAGAGATGGCTGTTTGGGCTAGAACTGCATACTCTTGTTTCCATGTTACTGGCTGCCATGCCATCATGGTCTGATACACAGTCTAGGCTGGTGCTGGAGACTTTTGCTGGATCATCTGCCTGAATAATAACGAATGGCAAAAGCCAGTTTGCCAATGATCAGACAATTTCTAGTGATGATCTTTCTGCTTCTTGTGAAGTGTCAGGTATGTTTGAAAAGTCTGATATCTGACACTACTTTGTGCTGTGCTTGAAGCTTAAATCAGTGAGCTAGTCATTTGGAGCTAAGCAAAGAGGGTAGACTTCCACTTTGAGTGTGTGTTCTGCAGTACAGTGAATGCAACACTAGAGAAAATGGGTAATAAATGTTGCCACTTAATAATTGGGATTGTCTCACTGACTCTAACATTTAAACACAATGCCATTCACGTGATAGTTAAAACATTCTCCAACCATTGCTTCTAAGCATACTCAGTGCAACGTAGAAGTATATACTTATGCTGGTAAATTCACTTAAAAGCTTAAAGTATCTTTCCACCAACAGCTTTTCATCCTTACTTTCCTCTTCACCTCTGTTCTCATTGATTTGGGAGAAAAATGTGAATTTTTCAGCATCCCCTGAAGGTCCAGACTCCAGTGGGATCAGCTTTCGATATTGCTTTAACCAAAGCTCAGGCTAGCTAAGACTAGTACAAGTGTGATACGCAGAGGATGTGTTGAAGGATTATAACTGCTGCTATGCAAACTTATATTCCTGTGTTATGTTTTCTGGTAGTGTTAGTGGCACTACTTGCTTTTGGTGTTTGCTCATACCCGCTCACTGATGCTGAGGCAGCACTATAAAGCAAAAGGAAAACATGTTAGATATCAAAACAATTAGAATTACAGCTTGCACAAGCTCCAATATGAATGGCCAAGTAACTGATATGGGTTTGGGACCAATAGACGCTTAGGGCATTGGGGCAGTTAAACTCTCTTCTAAAGAAAGTGAGAAACGTATGCAAGTTTTGTGAGATTCACAAAAAATACTGACTCTTCTATTTATTTGTCCTCAGTTTTGATTAATTGGCAAGCTTTCCCCTCTTCTTTCCTCTTCTCCCCAGACTGTTGAATTGAAACTGCTAACAATGACTATGAAACAGAGGCTGAGCCGAGTTCTCTTGTGAACAAGATAGCTGCTTGTCCTAGAGAGCACCTGGGGAAGACTCACAAATTTAGCAGTGAACTGAATCTCTCCTGTTAAGCTGATCTCCCCAAAAACGTGTTTGGAGTTTTCTCTTGCTCTTTATTTATCCTGGGAAGGCTCCTGAATGTCTTGAATTTTCTACTGCATAAGAAAATGGCATTTCAGTGGGAATCTCAGGTTTAACCAGAGCGTGTTCCTTTGCTTCTGCTTCTGCCCTGCAGAACTGAGCAAATCGTTAGCTTGTCTGGCGTCATACCTTTTTTTCCTACTCCCCTCTTTAGCTTCCTGTTTCTTGTCTTTGATTGTTACATGAACACAGAAAAGCTTAGAATCCTCACTTACATCCATTCTTCTCTCCTTATTGTAGTGAACGTGACTTGGAGGAAGTGCTGACACTTTACACACACAAAAACAAGTCAGCGAGTGTCTTCCTAGGAACAAGCTCCACAAGCACAAAATCTAGCAACACCAGTAACCAGCCAGAGAAAGAGCCTCAAGGGGGTAAGTGTTGCAGGCAGTTCTGAGATGATGTTGCCAAGACAAATGCAGTTTAACTTCAGCCTATGGAAAGGGAACAACCCCTCCAGAATGTTATGCGGGTTTCTTGAGGTTGAATATATATTTTTTTTTTTAACTGACTCTATAATGTGAAGACTAGAGTAACTGCACTCCTACCTTCTTTGCCTGAAGTGAAATGGGATGAATCTGAACTAGCATTTATAAGGAATTAGATATGGTGGCTCACGACTGAAATGAAAATGTGCAAACTGTGAAGGCACTAAGATTTGAAATGAACAGATTCTTATAATTCATTACTTTCATTCTTATTGAAGTAAGGGATGAAAGAAAGCAAGGCCTGTTAAATTCTGCTGCCTACAGTGAGCCATACCCATTGGAGGGTAGAGTCTGTATATTTGAGCCTAATTAGGCCTTCCATGGAAGGACGTGCAGTGCCAGCCATACATATCCAGTTGTCCGTGCTACTGTGCATGACAGCACAATTGTGATCAGTAGAGTTGCATGGTCTACAGTAAATATTAGCAAGAAAGTCCATTGTAACAAGGTTTAAATTCTGCAGTCCTGTTCTAGTGATATCACAGTTTGCATCGTTCTACTTCCTAATTCCTTGTTTTTGTTATAGACCATCCTGAGGTGGTGAAAAAAATAAAAGGTGATCAATCCAAAAGTTCAGTTGCAGATCTGCCTGCAGAAGGAGCATTAAAAGGCTATAGAGCCAAAGAAGTTAAATCAAACTGTAAGTGAACTGGCTTAAATCATCATCAGGAAAAAAATAAATGCATATACTGTTTTTAATACTGTTTTAAACAAAGGTTGGAACCTTTGGGTTCAAACTGAGGGATCAAATGGCCAATTTCGGGGAAGATTGTGCAGGTTTTTCTTTTAAACCCAAGAGAAGATACTGTAGAATGAGTGGTATGAAAGACTTAGCTGCTCTTCTGTGGGGGAAGACCTAGATATGGCAAGCTTTAAAGGAGGATATTTGTCATGTAGAGCATCTCTTCTTTGCTGGAGGATAAGGTCATTTTGGCTTCAGTGTGTCTGAGTATCTTTGGTGTGTTAATATTATCCAAAGTACTTAAAAAGCAGCTTTTTCTCATGTAGTGTGCTCATTATCTTTGTGTAGTTCCAGAAGGACCCACCTTCTCCTCCTTAAATGCTGAAGTGAAATTACCTCGGTGCAGCCCTCCTAGTGCTTCTTCTGTTTCTGGTGCCACATTGCCGAGAAGTACCAGTTCCTGGATACCATCTCAGCCTGCAACCTCTGAAAATTCACAGGTGCCTGGTCACCATTCGTTGCCAGCTCCTCCAGTTCGACCCAGGCTGATTCAGTCCCCATCCCCACTACCCTCCTCACAGAGCACAGCTCCTGACAGCTCTTCTGTCTTCACAAACCCAGTGTTCAGTGCGTCTTCTAGCCTTGCAGGGTTACATCGTTGTCATTCTGGTAGCTACACCATTGGCCCGTTCTCATCTTTTCAGAGAGCTGCTCAGATCTACAGCCAAAGATTGTCCCGACCATCCTCTGCAAAAGTAGGTAAGTGTTCTGGAATCCATAGTAACCTGCTAGTTCAGTATAGAGATTGTGTAATCTCTGTTCTGGAGTAGGTAAAAATTTTACATTTCCAGAATTATGAGTTTTGTTGAATGGTGATAACTTTCTCATGGAAAGGAGGAATGTGGGAAGCAGCACTTGTTTGTCAAAGACACCTTTTTGTTGAGCAGATCAACAGGGAATCATAGACTTGTTTAGGTTGGAAAAGACCCTTAAGATCGTAGAGTCCAACCATTAATCTAACACTACTAAATCTACCACTAGACCATGTCCCTAAGCTCCACATCTACACATCTTTTAAATACCTCCAGGGATGGTGACTCAACTGTTTCCCTGGGCAGCCTGTTCCAGTGCTTGATATCCTTTTCAGTGAAGAAATTTTTCCTGATATCCAATCTAAACTTCCCCTGACACAACTTGATGCTGTTTCCTCTTGTCCTATCACTTGTTACCTGGGAGACCGACTCCCACCTGTCTGCAGCCTCCTTTCAGGTAGTTGCAGAGAGCCATAAGGTCTCCTCTCAGCCTTTGAACTTGTTTGAAAAGAGCTGGTAAATGAAGTAGTATATATTTTTGCTTGACTGTGTTGCTGATCTTGTTCATCTTCAGTGATTTTAATGTCGTTCTGGTTAGCAGAAGTCCTGTCTCAGTCTATGTGCTGTTCTTAGTTCTGTTGGTGTTTTTTTCCTATCATGCAGAGAAATCCTTTAACAAAACCTCATAACTGTTGAATACTTAAAGGTGTGTCAAGACCTCCAAAAATGAAAGATCTGAATGAATCAATAGAGTATCTCATTCTCTAGGACCTTTCAGCACTACCATATCCAAGAGTATCTTAAAAACAAGATCTAGAGACCTCTCATTTATCCTGCTGGGGTAGAACATGGTTGAGCAATGCAACTTTAGATTGTAGGGCATCTGAAGAGTAGAAGAAACAGTAGGAATTTATGGATGTAGACTGTAATCTGTTAGGAAAGTTTTGGGAACCACACACAGGCTAACAGCTGTGGTCATAATATATATATATTTTTAATGGTGGTATAAGTTTGCTTTAGGTTGTAGGTCAGGGTCAGCACATGTTCACTAGGGTTGCTGTAACAACCTTTCTAGCATTAAAGTAAATCTGACTTCCCAAATGAGTAGCTTATTTAAAGGGATCTATTTGTTTTTAAGAAAAAACATCATAGATTTAACTTGGATTACAGCAACTAATATTCTCTGGAATTGGGTGCTGTTAGATATGTTATGATAAAGAGAATATGGGTTTGAAATGGACAAAAGCTCATATAGGCAATACCCATGCACAACAGAAGGCTGTATTCTCCATAGAATCTGCAGAAAGTATCATACCTTCTTTTCTGTCTCTGATCATCAGGCTGACGGAGACTGACATACCGCTCACTAAACATATCTAAATGTTTGTTTGGTAGGTTTGTGTCATCACAGTCCAAGTGGTCAGCGTGTGGGCTCAGCCAGGATGCACAAAGATGCAGAAGATCCTTCTTCCCAGGGCAAACATTATAGCCCCAGTATGGTGGCAGCAGAACTACAGCAGCTGGCCGAAAAGCAAGCAGCCTGTCAGTATTCCCCACCGAGCCACATCAGCCTCCTTACACAGCAGGTAGGTAAGCAGTAAAGCTAGAGTCCCTGTGACAACAGAAAAGTCTGTCACTGACTTCTGTGTCAGTGCTGGGCTGAGACATCCTGGAAGGATTAAATCTCATGAAAATACATTTCTGTCATATTGTTGTTTTGAAGTGTTCACAGCAACACGAAATTTGATTTTTCTGTGAGGTGACAAGAACGTTGCTAAAGTCCTTTTATAGAAGAAAGACAGACTGGGCAGAGGATTAAAAAATATGTTAAAAAACCCAAATCCATGCTTGGTCTTACTAAACAATAAACCCAAGTCTTCTCAGATTTGTGCTTCCAGGCAATTTGCTTCTTCCTTCCTCCAGTGTGTCATCACAGTGCTGGGAATGGAAGTGTGCAGAATGGGTTCTGATGTAAATTGTGTATTCCATAACATTTTCAAGACATAATGAAGTACTTACTAGCATGGGATATGATAATCCTTTTGCTAAACATGGTGCTATCGATCAAATTTACATTGGCTTCTGGTAAAATTCCACTTAGTTTCATATTTCTTTTTGAGTTGCTATGTCCTAAATGGCTACGCACGTAGTAATTTTTTTCTTTATAATATGCTATAGTTGTGTTCATCAAAGGTGTTCATGTTTGACATTTCTCAATAATTAAGCTGCCAACTGGAGGTTCTCCAGGATAGGCACTTAGCCTTGGAAATTAATTTTTTCCCTCTTTACCTGCTAGGGACAAAGTGTTTAAGTATCTTCATTCTGATGCTTTGATTTTGGAGGTATTGTTTTAACAGTGATGTTTTGCTGAGTTTTCTGAGGCATATTTAATTGCAATAGCTGCTGCTATTTGCTTCTTTTTGCTTCTTTTAATTTTATTGTTATCTGTTTGGATTTTGAATATCTGGCTAGGTGATTGGCAATGTCTTTTTTGAAAGGTGAGGTGCATTTATAACTCTAGGAAGCGGAATAGATTTTTGGACCCTTCTTTATCTAGTTCAAGGTTTTAATTCAATTTGGGCAGTTCTAAAACTAAACCAGGCACACTGGTCTTTGCAGATACGTCTTGAACTTTAAAGGATAAGTCACAAAAAACAAAGCACCTTGTTGATGGACTCAACAGAGAATGTGGGTACTGAATATACCAGTGATGCTGAGGCCTGATCTTGCATCACGCCACACACTGCTTTGAGAATATGATCTTTCAAAGCCTGAAGTGGTATGGAGAACGCTAGGAGAAGCTTGTTTGTTTGTCCAGTAATATTCAGAGCTGTCAGTCTGGTTCTCATAATGAGATCAGAATTAAGCTTTTTTTAAGCTAAACCTTGTCAGTAAAACTGTTCAAAAATTTGGTAGCGGAACACTTTCATTCAGGAAATGCTGATTTGTTGAAAGAAAAATAGATGGTGGAAACTACCTCCTTCAATAAAAATTAGTATCTAAACAAATATTTGGGAAAAAATTAAAATGCATCTATTTCGTTTCAGTCTTTTCAGAAAGAACTTTTAAAAATAAATACATAGACTTTCTCCCTAAAACCACTCATTTCCCACTGGGCTCCAATTGCTGTGGTTTCTTAGGTCTGTGTAGAGAACCCAAGTTGACCTCTTGCAGCCATTTATATTGCTATTGGATGACTTTTAAACTTCTGTACTCCTACCATAGCTAGTTACTGCTAGTTAAATTAGGAAGTACAGAAGGGGGAAGCCAGAGAGGCATTCACGAAGTTCTATGTCGAAGAGCTGTGTAGCTTCCTGGGTATACCTGTGTTGACTGACAAAGGTGCATACTCTGGTAATTGTAGATGGTGGAGGCTGAAACCAGTTAGTCAATCAGTGTAGGTATACTCAAGTCTGAAAGTGGCTATGAAGTGCAGTGGTAGCTCTGGAATTGTGTTGGTCGTGGTAAATGTGTCTGCATTGCTTTTTGCTTCTGGGTTCTCCCAAGATACTTACACAAAGAAGAGGTGGGAAATAAAGAAAAAGAATGAAGGTGCCAATTCCCCTCTTTGTGACACAAAACCAATGAAGACCTCTGCTTCTAGCAGACAATGTAGGTTTTCTGAGTGGCCTTGATATATTTTGTATTTGGTTACACAGTGTCTGTACAGGCTTTGCTTCTGTAGTGAAATACAGAAGCGTGATTTGGATTGTGTCTTAGTGGTCTTCTGTCGTCATGAAAAAGGTCAAGGTAAAAAGGATTCACAAGTCAATGAAACATTTAGAGATGGACCTTTATCTGACAATGAATTCCCTTCCTGAGCCTATGTCCATTCAGTTCTAGACATCTGCTCTGTACTGTGATTCTCCAGGTCGTGTCTTGTGGTTTAACCCCAGCTGGCAGCTAGGACGGTGCAGCTGCTGACTCACTCCCCCCAGTTGTGATGTGGGAGAGAATCAGAAGAGTAAAAGTGAGGAAAAACTCCTGTGTTGAAAGTAAAGCAAAAGCTGTGCACACAAGCAAAGCAAAACAAGGAATTCATTCACTACTTCCCACCAGCAGCCAGGTGTTCAGCCATGTCCAGTAAAGCAAGGCTCCATCATGTATCATGATTACTTGGCAAAACAAATGCCATAACTCAAAGTCCTGTCGTTGTGTGTCGTGTCCCCCTGCCTTCCCCCTTTCCTCCTTCTCCCAGGTTTATATGCTGAATATGACATCACATGGTATGGAAGAGCCCTTTGAGTTGGGGTCAGCTGTCCTGGCTGTGTCCCCTCACAACTTGTGCCCTCCTAGCCTGCTCGCTGGCAGGGTGATATGAGGAGCAGAAAACGCCTTGACTGTGTAACAACAACAAAAAGCACCAGGGTGCTGTCAAAAGTATTTCTCATCCCAAATCCAAAACATAGCACTAGACCAGCTGCTAGTAAAAAAGTTAACTCTATCCCAACTGAAACCATGACGCCATGTTTCTGCAATAATCCTTTTGGACAGATGAAATCTGAAGCTTGCTTAGTGTGAAAATTTTGGATGGTTTAGTTAAGGACAGTTTTTCTTTTAAGGCAATGTGATTCTTCAGTACTGAGTTTATGGCACATAATAATTTCGAAGCTGAGACTATTATTTTAATCATACCTGAAACAGTGATGTTTTAGAAGGTTCAGATTAACTTCAAGGTCCAAAGGAACATAGCTAAAGCATATGGCGACTACTTGTGCTTTTTGTTTTGTTTTCCCCTGGACACATTCCGCTCTTTTAAGAGTCATTCCGATACTTTTTTTGATCCAGCCTGGCTCTTTAAAGCCTGTCTTTTGACAAGGACCAAGGGTTTTAGTTCTGTGGAAAGACAAAGCTGCTATGACAATGAAGGGTGACAAGAGGTATCAGCATACAATACATCAGCATAACAACATGGCAGCAAGTGCCTGTACAGGCAAAACTGGAGGAGCCAAGCAAGGGTTGTGCTCATTGTTAAGGGACCTGGAACCAGGACACCTGGCAGAGTTGAGCCACTACATATGGATGTGGATTTGAATTTTGAATTTGAATGGAGTATGGATTGAATGAATAGATGTGCAGGCAGTACAGAGTAGGCTGGCAGTTTAGAAGGTGATTTGCAGAAGGGAAGATATTGGTGAAGCTCTTTGGGGGCGCTGTGTCATTCTAGGTTTGGGCTGACAAGCATTTGGTCTGAACCAGGAGGGAGGAAGATAGCGGCAGAAGAGAGAGCAACATGTGGGAGAGAATTTAGTAAACAGCTGGAGAGAAGTCAAAAGTCAAACGCCATTGGTATGAGTTGAAAGGAGAAAGAATTGGTATGGGAGTGTTTGGGAACTCTGGGTTATGAAACCTTAGTCGCTTTGGGACAGGGGAAGTAAGGGATTGAAAGTTGAGAGAAGGTTAGAGACAGGGCTTGTATGAGGGTGGTTTAGTTAAACGGGGCACTGCTTTCCTGTGCGTTTCTAAACAGGAGACTCTGAATTGTTATTTTCCCCCTTTTCACTCCTCTGTTTAAACTACTTGAAATATAATAATCCTTTTGAAGTATAAGTATTCTAAAGTAAATTGGCATGAAGACAACTGCTGGAAGAGAACATCACTCACCTAAATAATAAAAATAGTACAATTGTTTAAAGCCACTTCAGAAACTTGGAGTTAGTCTACATAGTTGGAAAGTACCTGGCTGGTATGAAAAGGACTTGATGTTTGGATTTAATTAGGTTTAATGGCAAGATTAGGACTATTGATTTGGACGGGGTGCGTGAAAGAGACTTTTGAAAACATTACTATTGCTGTGGACTGTGTTTCTTTTCCAAGGGCAAGAACTTCTATGTGTGTTGAATGCCTTTGTGCCTTGATTTCCTGTGTTGTGCCCAGCTGTGTGTTGAGGGTGGGGGTACTCTGAATATATTACCTCCTTCCAAGAGCAGCTGGGAAGCTTGTTTTCCATTCCCATTCTTGTGAGAATTGCTTCTGGTATCCATGTACTAGTGTGTGTCTCCCGGGTTCCCAGGAATGTAGCCTCAACAGCTGTGCTTGGAATGGTGTTGCCATTCTTGTTGGGAGTCCACCTCTGTCCCTCTCCAATCCCTTCAGTTCTTCACTGTTTCTTTCCCATGCGCAAAGCACCTGTTTCATATTTTCTCTATTACACTGTTGTATTCTACCCTTTGTATTAAAGCAGTTCAATTTATTAAGCCAATTTACTGCTGAAATGACAACGTTCAAAGGGGAATGTAAGTGTAAGTATCTGACAAGCTTTGAACAAGATATTCAAAATCTGTTGTCTTAAGAAAACAAGAGTTTTGTGATTATGTCAGCTGTCTTGCTAGTCCTCTGTGTTCACTTCTGAAACACCAGATGGGAACTTCACAGTGGTACTCATAAAGGGAACAGTTCTTATCATATAGTAGGTAGAGATGGTAGGAAGGTAAAGCCTTACTGATGTGCAGTTTCATTCCTTTGCACAGTTAGTTTTCAGTCCTCACAGAGTGTGTGAGAACATTTTGCCTTTGAAAAATATTTTTCATTATGTTGTATAAAATTTTGACAGTGCATCTTCATGCTCGCAACATGGAGAAAACAA